GATACAAACATCAACATTAAAAATGGGGCTCTGGCAAAGGGCAAATAACTGTTATCTTCTTGTAGACCTCCATGTCATTTACTTTTCAGTGCCCTTTGCATGTTCTTTTTGTGTTGTGCTTCACAACATTGATTTAGCCATAGCAGCTACTCATCAGTGTGAAGCCAGAGGAAACCAGGCTTCTGCAGATAGGTGGGCTCACTGTGTCCACTCAGCAGTGAGCAGAGAGGAAATCGAGGCTTATTGGGGCTCAGAAATGCTGCAGGGGGTGGATGGGTAGGATAGTATCTCCGCCTGTGAGCCGCTTTTCCAGCAGCCCCTTGGTGCGGGAGATGAGCTGGGGATCCACGGCCAAGCCAGGCTCTCACCATGGCAGTGTGCTCGGGGAATCCTACTGCAGAGCTGAAGGAGAGCAGGAGCCCTGGAACATGGCGTGACGTTTTCCTAAGGTGTCCTCTTTCTTTCTCTTAACACTATTAAGTGCATAATAGGGGGGAAGGGGGAGGTGGGGACAGCCCCATCACATGGGCTTCTACAAGTAAGCAGGGTACGTCTCTAGCAGAGGTACTTTTAAAGAAGTAGTTTAGCACTGGTGTAGATGATCTCATAGTCCTCGTCTCTTAGATATGCACAAAATAGGCAGCAGCTACTTGGTCTCTGAAGTCAAAAGAAGCCCTGCATTGAATGAGCTGAAACAGTTATCACAGCAAATCACCAGGTAGAACAAAACTTGATAAATTAGCCACATTGAGAAGATGGACAGTCGCCTTCCTCTGCAGGGCCTCGCACAGAGCCATCATTCCTGCAGGCTTCATGCTACACAGGGCCTGGACTCTGCCCAGATGGAGAGGCCACAGAGGAGGAAAGTCCTTCCCAGAGCTGTGCCTCCCTTTGTTTGTCCCACCAATAGCTGTCCTTTTTACACAGACCTGCGCATAAGCAAGGCCCTCGTGTCAGTCGTAAATTGGTGTGCTCTGCTTATGAACCAAAGTGTGCTCTCAGGCTTTGCATCTTGCATACTTGTGCAGTAATTTTTCTGACTTGGTCTGGGCCTGGTGGCTTGCTCTCCCTTCCTCTACCCCGGTCCCTGTGTGTTTGAATTTCAGTTTGATCTCTTCTACACGAATATATATGGTAATTTCCATTTTCACTTGCATGGGTTTCTTGCTCATCTCATGGAACAAAAATGATACTTGCACAAAATGTGCATTGGCTTGTTTCAAATCCAACCTTGTTCTAGCCCCAGGCGAACCGCAGCATCCAGGGTACCTCCCATGGTGTGGGGAAAAGAGCCAGCCTCCTCCCCTCCCCCAGGCACTGCTTTCCAAGGACCATCCTTGACCAAAGAGTATCTGGCTGAGCCTCCGTTAGTGCTGCAGCTTTGTGGGAATTACAGAGCATCAGGGCAGGGGTCTCTGCTCCAGTATCCTGTCACCGAGACCAGTACCCTCAGTTCCAGAAGAGGTGCAAGACCCTAGGCACAGGCAGAGGTTAAACACCCCAGGGAAAATCTCATCCTAAGCCTGATCAGGAGAGCAGCTCAGCCCCAGGTGATGCATGGCAAGCTGAGTTGGATGCTCACTAGTTCAGTGGTACTGGAGATGTGCTGTGCTTTCTATAGTCCAGCTCCTACCAGCGAGCCTCAACTCTGGCTCAGAGGCCCTCATAACAGTAAGATTCCTTCACCCGTCCTGTCGGCTGCAACGATGTTTTTGTGACGGTGCTCATGAGGAAACTGGGCAGTGATTAGTTCCCACTGGCTGATCTGTAGTTATCAGATGGGAATGGGGTTCGATGATGAAGTCATCCTTGGTGGAGTTGTAACAGTGGCTCAAGGTGGCCCTGACTCGTGTGCATCGTATGAATAGCAAGAAAGGAGCACTAAAGCATGCAGTGAGTGCAAAGATAGGGTGTAGAAAAGCAGCGGTAGGAAGGAATGCTTGCACCGAGGAAAAAGTATGGTAAGGAAGGAAAGAAATGCTGGAAGCTGTGCAGATGATAGTGGGCAAAACAGTAGTTGGAGCTTACGACTAATGTGATGTCAGAAAGCCAATGTGAGCTGCCGGACAGAGACCGATCACACTTTATAATCCCTGAAAGGAGCAGGCCTCAGGGGTCCTCGGGAAATGGATCTTGTCAGCTTATGATTGGCATGAATCTCAAGGCGTTTGATGCTTTGTCTTCAAGCCCCCAGCTCCCGGAGTCGAGTGTTCTGTGGGAATCTCGGCCCTCGTTCAGATAACAAAGTCAAATGGTGGCCCTCGTCGTTACTGAAGAAGGCTGAGGACGTGAGTGAGTTCACTCCAATGGCTCGGAGACCAGAAGACAAGTGAAAAATGAAGCAAAATTTATGATATTTTGAATCTCATGATTTCAGAGCTGATCTCATAACTTTGGAGGTCGGACTCCTGATTTTTGAGCAACTGGAGTTGACAGTAGTGAGACGACGCTCGGTGACATGACGGGGAGAGCCGAATGATTTCTGGAAGCAGGCAGCAATGAGAAATGACACGGGGCGATATCTCCCCTCTCCCTGGCACTGCTGCTGTAGGATGTTCCTAATGTGCCTGCTCCTCAGCGCGTCTCCCTTCAGTGCCTTCTCCACGCCCGCCGTGATTTGTGTATGGAGAGTCCACCGCGAGCATTAGCAACACTGCAGGGAAAGGCACACTAATAATGGTGCCTCTGAATGAAAGGATAGATTTCAGACTTTACCACGGGACTTGCACCCTGCTTCCATTACCTTTGCCTTCGCTTGGCTACCAAGTGATGATATTAGCGGGTAATTAGCAAATCTTCCCCCACGTTCTCCCAGGCAAGTATTTCTTGGCAAGTGAGTAATAAAGGCAGGTAAGTAAAGTCCCATTGTCCGTGTCCTTGTGATGGCTGTGATCAATGTATCGATCATCTCCGTAGGTGGTAATCCTCAGACACTGCGTGGTCTCTCTCGCTGCGTCTCTGTAGGTGCTGCCTTTGTCGTTTTTGGAAGCTTTAACAATTTTAATGCTAGCTAGCACTATTGATGCCCTCATCCTATAGTATTTTTTTCCCAAAATTGCCTGGATTTTGCTTGTGCAAGGTAATTCAGGTCTAAACCAGAAAGGCTTTCCATAATAGGCGACAGTAAAGAGAAGTAGACAACAGAGTGAATGGATCCTGAAAACATGATAGTATTAATATCTACAGCAAACATTACCTCCTGTTTTATTGATTTAGTTTTTTACTTTTGTAATAAGAAATATGAACCCAAATGTGCTGAAATTTAAAATAGCTGTAGCAAATGAAATTACCAGCCTACCAAAACCCTCCTGACCATCACATCAGGGAAGTCCCCAAATTAATATTCCACCTCAGTAATTCTGATGTGCACGCTAGTTTAAGGTTTCCAGACAAATAAAAAGTGAGTCGTATCTGTGGGAGGCATGCAGAAATACAGGCATAGAAAATAATTGAAAGCAATATAAAGAGAATACTGTAGTCATCACAGACTGCGGCTCCTCAGTGAGCCGTACAGAATCTAACTAGCAAAGGTAGTAAAAGATGCGCATGTGACTGGGAAAGTACAAACTGCACAAGGCCTGAGACTACTGCACGTTGTAAAGATGAGCATCCCATGCTGCTTAAAGGAAGTAAAATGGCTTTTAAGTCGGTGCTGCCGCACCCGAGCAGATGGGAAGGGCATGTGGACAGGAGGACCAGGCTAGTCCCTGGGAGGGCAAGAGTAATACGAGGCAGAGGAAGAAAGCAGTGCATGGTACTAGGGGAAGCCATGTGAATTCGCAGCCATATCATTTCTCACCGTGAGAATCTTTGTGCCCGCCCTGGCTTTTGTTGGAAGCTGCCGAGAAAGGAGCTGCGTGGACTGTCATAGGCATCAGTCTCCAAGCGCAAACTTCTTTCTTAGCAGCGCGGTGAACTGAGCCTTGAGGGTGGGGTGCCAGGCTGTGAGTGGGGTGCACTAGCAAGTCTCCCTGCCCCCCAGAAGCACCTGCCTCTCTTGGACTCATGAGGGAGGGCAGCAAACCAGAAAGTGAAAGCCAAGAGATGCAAAATAATTGTTTGAGGAAAAACAGGACAAGAGTAGAGCAGGAGCAAGTGGCCAGAGGAGTGTGTGAAAAGGGTTTGAAAGAGGGTGGCTTGCAGGTTGTCACAGCAAAGGTCAGTGCAGCAGAGTTGGGAACTACTGGAAGATGGTGATGGAAACCTGCTCTTCACCAAAATGCACTGCTCCGCATAGGCGTGCTTTTCCCACTTCCTGGACACTTATCTCTTCTCCCTCCAGCTGACCAAAACCTTGTGTCCGTGGATTGCACCGTCGATATGACCCCGATGCAGTTCCAGTTAACTCTCCAGCAGGCACGTGTAGAAATCCCTGTGTCCTCTGTGTCACGGGCCTGTCTCCGTTTGTCTGAGATGCGTGCATCTAGCTGGCCACAGGAAGGATGCTCTCTCAGCCCTGCTCCTGTGCACACTCGGTAGGCTTGCATCTAGAGCCAGATCCAGCAAAGCACTTCATTGTGTGTTCAGCTTTAAGCCCATGAAGTGTCTAGTGAACTTGACCTGCTCTTCTAATGGGTGTAAATGCCTCACCAGGCCGGAGCCTTAGCCAGGAGCTTTAAAGCTCTCTGAGAAGTTTAGGGGAAATAAAAAATACGGTAGTCTTCTCCAGGCTTTTCTCCTCTGGTCTCTGGAAGTCTTCTAGAGTGCCTAAGATATGCTGCTTATGATGCAGCCTGATTATCCTTGCGTTGTCAGTCCATGCTGGATGCTCTGGTCTGGTCCAGTGGATCCTGCCCAGGGCAGGCAGGGCCCCTTCCCAGGACCGCTCTGTTTCATTGTGTTTGTTGCAATGGGGTGTCACCGCAGATGGAAGGTGTTGGTGCTGTTCCAGGTGAGTATGACGGTGATTGAAGCACGTGCTGTTGCCACAAATCAAAGGTGTTTTCGTGTGAGTGACTGTTTATCGCTGTCCTGTTGACAACATTTCCACTTTGATACAGCAAGAAAGACTCCGTCCACCTCGGCCACCTCCTCCAAAGATACAGCGCTCGTCTAGGCCCGTGAGTAGTTGGTAGTTTTGCCTCACTGCCGCAGCTTAACACTGCCTGAATTGCTCTCTCAGTAGCGTTACTAAATCCTGGTAGTTTGGACTGTTGAATCTTGCAAAAAAGCAACATGGGAATTATGCTCCTAAACTCCCTTCCTCCTAAACTCTGCTGCGGCACAGCCCTGGGACCTGCATTGTACTCTGCTTTTCTTTGACAAGTTCTGCACCTGTAGGTCAGTTCTGCAGGTAGCTGATACTGCTGTTGTGTGACTCTGTTTTTACTCTGGTGGTGATTATTTAAACCAAAAATCCTGCTAGGCTGACTTAAGTTTTTAGCCAGTGAGCTTTTGAAGACTTGCACTGAATTCATAAATATGAAAGGAAGCAAAAATCTGGCACTAGGATATTTATTCTCCCCAGGTCTTGCTTTAAATGAAATTGGGGCTGTTAATTCCCCCCTCCCCCCAGCATAGGTGAATGAATAGGTCTAAAGAAAAGGAAATCTCTATCTGGGCAGTAGTGCCTTAATACCACATTGTGACTTGCAGAAAGTGTGCATAATGTTCATTTAAAATGCTAGCTGGAGATCCATTTAATTATATATAGAATAAAAAATTGCAGGCACCAACATCTTGGAAAAAGCAAGTGCCTCGTTTACGGAAGCGCTACACAAAACCAGTGTTCAGTGTGGCACCTGCATTAGGCAAGGCACTGTCATGTGAGCACTTTTCTATTTTAAACGCTGACTCGGAGCCATAGTGTTGCATATTAACGATGCCAGATGCCTTTAAAAATGGGGACCAGGGTAGATCAGCAGCAGTAACTGTTATTTACCAAAGGAAAGAAGTTGGTGGCAGTTCAAGCTGACAGTTGTTTCTGCAACAAACCCAGAGGGTATTTAATTCCATTTAGGATTTCTGCCCAGTGAGCAGAATTTCATCAGAATGCAACTGCTTTCTTACTTGCTTCCTTCCCCGTGCAACACAACAGCAAGTTTTCAAATCTAGTCTTGCTAAAACTTGGTAAAGACGTTTGGTCTGCGACATGCAGGCAAGCCGGTTAACCAGTGCACTTGAGGGGGGGTGTTCACTTTAACCTTCAGTGCATGTTCCTAAGTTGGATGTAGATGGCATGGTTTTTCCCCTTTTTAACTCTGGGTGTGTAGCTTAACACCGTCCTTGTTATGGATTTCTGCCTTTCTCCCTGTATAAAAGGTAGCGCTAACTACGCTTCTGTGCATCCTTGACTGTAATTGATGTGGGAGACCCTCCAGGATATGTTACGTGGGAAACAAACTTTTGCCTTGTTCTCTCTCGCACCAGCAGTTCCCCGTGGCTCTGCACGTCCCCCTTGTTCAGCTCTTGGCAGGTGCAGCCCCATCGGGGCACCCGGGGATTTCCGTGGACAAAATGTTACCGAACAGTATTACTCCAGTTTGAGCAGTTGATGCATCAAAGCAGATCTTGCCAAGGCTGTTTAATCTCTCAGCTGTAGTACATTAGTAGTCCTCAGTATGATGTGTTTGTGTCAACTGTCTTTGCTCCCAACGTGATTGATAAAAGGTTGGAAATGTAAACACTGTAGTAATAAAAGCTCCTGTTGTATTCAGCTGCCTGTACAAACACATGCAACTGGAATGCTGCATTTGTGAGGAGGGAAACGGCGAGAGCTAGACACAGTTCAAACTGCTCCAAAAGTGTAGGGCTTTAGACCTTTTTGTTGCCAAAAATAGGCTTAGCTACAGCATGTGTGACTTGTTCTTCATATCTGCATGTACGCAGAAGGACTTAGAGCTGCTGTCACGGAGGTTTGAGTGACACGTGTCCAGAAGGAAATATCCTAATCCGTCTTGGCAAATTCATAGATTTGGTTTGTTCCTTTATCACCAGGTGTTTGATAACTTTTTGCACAATTTTGGAGGTATTTATAACTGAAAGAAGTTCCCCCTTTTCTATATGCTGGGTTTTTGGTGGTA